ATTTTTAACAACCGTGGACCATGCAATTTCGTGCGCCGGTTTTGGTTCCTGTCTTTTGACCGCCCAGTTGAATAAAAGAGAAGGAAGATTGGAATGTTGAAAGTCAATTCAAGGTGATGATGGACCACTGAAAAAATGATCTAATCCTTTTGTTGATATTTTTGCATAAGTTAAATGAAAAGCTAGTAAGGATGGTGTGGCTGAGTTTATTGCATCATGAACCACGAGGACCCAATAAACTCAATGAGAATCATTCTTACATGTGCTTAATTTCATTTTTTTATAAATGCGGTTACATTATCCGTAAAAACCTTTCCGGCATCGCAGAGTCACATCAACGAAACAGAGCAAAGTGGATATACTAGATGATAGTTAAACTATACTACCGTTATTTTACGATAAATGTCGTCATAATCGCACTTCAATTAACAATACAATGGCGACAGTGCCATTGCGTACGGGATAAATATGCAGGTTGAAGAAAGAACGCTGGGTTCAATACGAAAGCGTCTCACAACAAGTCCGCCATCGGCTGCGATCTTCGCGCTGTCTCTGCCAGTTTCCAACCCTAGACAATCATCCTCTTCGGGGTCATGGGTTTCAGTCCTTGAACCCAGGCTGGTTTGTGAATTATTATTAACACATTCCAAATGAACACTCAACGAGCGATTCTCATGAGATTTCTCGAAACAAGGATAGAGTCTGCGAATTTCCTAAATACCTAACAGGCGGGACAAATCTATCTTCCACATCAGACAATGAGAGGAAAGGGGGAAGTTGGACAGTTCATACGTACCTTGCGATATTTCTGTGGGAGAGATGCCGTTATAGAAGAACTAGCCAATTGTGATGCGATTTGCTCATATGCCTGAGCTAGGTATTGCGTCAATTTGGCATTGATGTTTGCTGGTCTTCCATCCAGTACCGATTTTTCCACAATGCACTCCTGAGCTTGAGCCTGGAAGTTCGTAAGGGAAGAAAACTTTGAATCAGATACAGGAAATGTGTACCATTTAGATGCTCTGGGCGAAAGCCGTATACAAAGAGGCGATCAAATAATTTTCAATGGGTGATATACTGCTTGCCGCTGTCGTTGAGTAAAGTAAAGGATTTCAGACATTAACTGAAATGTATCAGTGTGTAGCGAGAAAAGCGGATCCAACCAACTTGAAGTGAATCAACATCATCATCATCATCGTACAGCGAGATACAGTGAAGCGAGCTTCACTGATCGCTGCCAAGCTCACAATGTACACAAATCAAGTGATAAAGCACAAGATGGAGAGGGATTGGGCCTACTTGAAGGGAGGCAAAGAAAAAGAACCTGTATGTTCAACACACAGAGCACACAATCTAAGTGTTCATGCATACCTTTTTTCAAGTATTCTGCCTTCTTAAGAAATAACAACAAGAACGCCACTGCTCTCGGTTAGTCGCCATATCCTTTAATGTCTCCAGTCAACCAGTTGTAGAATCTTTCGGACCCCAAACTGGAAGACGGGAGACACCGAGTCTACCTAATTGCTCTGTGCATTTCTTCATGCTTCGCTTCCACGTCATCTGTTGACCACCACGCAGTTTCTTCCAACCCGGAGCCGTAACTGCGAATA